TGGCTACCTCCATGGTTGGGTTTAAAGCAGCTGTCCAGGTCTCCACTTTCTGGCATCCACGATTCATTTCTCTAGATCTGAAAACTTTGTTGTTCTTTAGGGGAAAAAAAAAAACCCTCATAACTATTAATGTGTAGCTTGTATTCAGGGGACGCTTTATATTAGCCACTAATATTTCAATTCACAATACCTTATCAGCGAAAGGAGAGGCAGGTTTGCACTGTGTGTGTGTGTGTGTGTGTGTGTGTGTGTTATACACAAAATCTCTAGAAGACTGCAGAAAGCCCCACAGAGAAAAGAGAGTCAATCCTCAGAAATAATCACCTTGGTTCATTTTCCCCAGAGTTATGTGGAGCAGGTTTTGACACTCCATAGTGGGTGGAGGGTTTGTTCCAGGGACTCTGGTTTTGCTCTAATCCAAGCCAGGCCAGACAGAATGCAGATTTCTCTGTGGTTCCCTCATCCAGCCCCCAAATATACCCAAGATACCATGCCCCTATACTTTTTTTTTCTTGTCAAGCTCAGTGTTTGAAATCCAAGCTCCCCTGTATTTAAATGAAGAAAGCCCTTTCTCCCTGGAGAATTATTTACCATCTTTTTGTCCTTTTGCTGCAATCTAAACATTCCCTAAAGATGAAAGGCACAGGAAGAGGCTGCCTGAGGAGACACAGCCCCTTTTGTAAGAGTATATGGATTCTACCCTGACTGGAAGAACTTAAAATAACTTCAGTCACACGCTTTCCCGTCTTGCTTTTCTGAGCCTGACAGTTCACCTGCCTGCTTTACCGACTTTGGGTCCTCTCTGGACACCAGTGACCTGAGAGACTCACTTCTAGGAAGGTGGGGGAGACAGTTGGTGGATTCACAAGAAAACCGTCATCTCTGGTCCCAGCGTTCAGTCCTTGAGTCAGCCTTTTGTCAAGAGCCACGCCTGACCAGGCAGAGACAACACTGTGACTATTTCTGGGGAGAAAGGTCTGGAAGGAAGTTACCACAGAACCGCTTGCCTCTCATTCTTCAGTCTCCTATTTCAGTATTAAGGACCAGCCTGCATCACACAGATGAGATTCTAGGCCTGCTAACCCATCTGCAGCCACAAGGATGGATGGTCCCACCAAAGCCTGGGGTCCCTGGAATCTTGAAGTGATGACATAGCCTCTACTTTCCCCAACAGTCATGTGATTGTATGTCACAATCCCTTGGATTAAGAATTCTTCTGATGAACTTCCCGAACAAAAACAGCAGCTTTTAAGTTCCCAGACTTTTTTTTAAGTGATCACAGCACACGTGTATAATAAATTCTGCTGGAAAGACGTGAATGAGTTGTTGTACCAGAACTGCCCTCTCCAGATGACAGGTCAAGTTCTGCTTACACTTTGAATTCTTAAAACTACATGGTACCACATGTCCTATACTTCACAATGACCAGCTTATACTGAAGTTAGCCCTGTAGCTAGATGTGGGGAACTGGAACCATGCCATTGAAGAGCTTCATAGGCTGTATCATTACAGAAAGAAGAAAGCATGTACTAAAGTTTCTTAGATAAGAAACTAAATACTAGCTATGCAGAAACTAAAAACAAAATGGCTGTCCAATGCCACAGCAATAAATGGTGGCCAGACCTCTAACCCTGGGGCTTTAACACCAGGAATGAAATCCAGCTTGGCAAGCACAGCCTTATCTCTTGTTCTCTGTATCTCAGACGCTTTCCTAACTAACCAGTAAGATTTGCACTCATAGTATAACAGAGTCTTACAAGGGTTCTGAGTTGGTAAGAGGAGGCCCTTGCATCCAGATCTAAGGAGAAGACCTCCATATGTGCACACATATATAAATGTGGAATATTTATGAATGTGTATCCCGTTCTCAGGGTCAGTCAGCTTTATTTGACATTGATTGATAGAAATTGGGAATCAGCATCCCAGGTGTCCCTCAAAGATTCCCTCCAGCTCACGTTCTACCTGGAGACCAATTACAACCTTGACCTCTACCCTAATGTAAAGTGTGACATATAGACTGCCTGGACTAAATCAGTATTACTGTGTGCTGCTTCTTGTCTATTCCCAAGCCAGGTTTTGTTTTATTTTTTTTCAATCTTTAAATTTTTTCTAAATCACATTTTTTAAAGTTAGCATAAAATGTGTTTCATTATGATCATTAAAACATACATATTTTGTTCTAATTCATACTGATCCCATCTCTGCCTTTCCCTTGTCCCCTACTTGCCTTCTCCTGGTCCTCTTGCCTCTCTTCTCTTTCCAGTCACCACGTTCATTCCCCCCTTCCCCTCACCCTCCTCATTATAGTCCTTATAGTCCTCTTTGAAGTTTAATCACACACACACACACACACACACACACAAAGTTCTAGTCTCCACATACATGAGAAAACATGCAATATTAGTTTCGCTGAAGCTGGCTCATTTCACTTAACGTAACGAGGTTTCTAAGCCATGTGTATTTCTGAAGCAAACTCAAACCGGAGAGAGTTTTACATAAACAAGTTCACAAGCACCACCTGGTCAATCTAAAACAAACTCAACACCGTGTCTTTGTGGATTAAAAAGTTTATTAATAAAGGAAGCACACACCCTTTGAAAATAACCACCTCAAATGTATAGAGACACTCCATCTTCTACTCGTGATCTGATCAAGGCCAGGAAAGGAAACTGCAGCACCATACGCAGACCCATAGTTCTGAAAGGGGCAGTGCTCTTTTGAGACAAGAAAATTAGAAAATTCATTTCAGTGGCTTAAACACTAAGCAGTTGGCCATCAGATAGGCTGAACTCACACTGTACTGCTAAAGCACATTCTGGATTAACGAGAGTAAAATCCAGTGGCACATTTATATAACGGCTTCCACGCAGTGATAGTTCAGAGATTGTCACCAGGAAATATCAAGACACGGCTCACGTTTGCAAATGATACACAGCTTTCAAGTTCATTTCTGGTGGTCTTTCAGTAGCCCCTCCATAGTTGCCCTTCCTAATAACCCTCGATCACTTTCATCAAGACTCTATTGCAAGTTCATAAATATGCCCCGGATATAATGCACACAGAAGTGAGTGAAGGAGTATCAGGAAATCCTCGTGTCTTGGACATCGATGAAAAACATATAGAGCAGAATTTCGCTGTGGGAACACACCGGAAGGTGCTCAGAAGAGACTATCTGAGTTCTCAATCCGAAGAGGGGGACCAGAGACCTGCTACTTAACTACAGTTTCTGGGCTTTGGAGTAGCTATGCTCTAGGCATGGCTCCAAGGTGCTGCCTACACCAATCTGGATGGAGCTCGGAGCCACAGATGATAGTCACGTAAAGGCACAGACCCGTTGAGCAGGCTCGGTTACAGTCTGTACACCCAGGCGGCAGTATTCCCATTCCAAGTACTGCCAAGCCCTGGCCGTTTCTCCTCTTTTTGAAAAGTCTTGATACATTTAATTCTCCTGCAGGAGGCACGGGAAGGGGGCTGTGCAAACCTCACTGTTCTACGGTTTGGAAGGCACAGTCACCGTCTTGGCTCTGCGACAGATTTGAAGTGTAACATTTTGCTAAGTGAGAAGCCGCGCGCCTGCTCCTTCTCTGTTTCCCTTACTGAAGCTTCAATATTTGCAAAACACAACGTCAAAATACTTCAAATCCAGCCCAGAGCCATTTGTTATTCATGCGACACAATCCTTACACATACCAGCACAGAGTGAGCTTCTAGCAAAGGGTCCCGTCATCTAGCTGTGCTCCTTCTGTGCACTTTCAGTGTCTCTCCCTCTTTGGAGAGTTAAGAATAATCTGATCTTAAGAATAAAATCCCCATTCTACAAAGACATAATACTATAAGCTGAAACCATCGCAACTCTTGGTTGCGTTAGAAAGTAAGAAACCCGCAGGCTAAAATTACTCTACCCTTTAGCGCAACTTAACTGCATGGGGAGTCTTAATTTTTCTCATTTAAAAAAACAAAAACCTGGTGAATTTGTTGGATAAAGATATCCTGTGCGTGCTTCCAGCAGGGCTGGGTGAACAGGGACAGATGTGAAAACAGCCTCACTTTGAAAGGACAGCTTGTGACATCCTGGATTCTCTACGATGTTCCTGTTTCTACAGAAAACTATCACAAGTCAATGTGAAATTGGTTAATCTCAATTATGCGTGCACATATGTGTGAAGGCCAGAGGTCAGCTATCCACTCTGGGTTATTTTTAGTGTTTTTTTTTTTTTCCTTGAGACAAACTCTCTCATCATGGACTGGAGTTAACCGGTACATTAAAGATGGCTGGTGACGAAGCCCCAGGAATCTACCAGTCTCTGCCTCTGCACTGCCAGGAATACATGTCACCATGCCTGGCCCTTTTACATGGGAGCAAGTTCTTACTGGGATGGCAAGGACTTTGCTAACTGGGCTATCTCCACGGCCCAGAGCTGGTTATTCTTAACAAACACTAAAGGTTTCCCAGGTTAGTACCAGGAAACTTAATGTTGTGTTTATGCAATTTTATCTGAAATCGGTCCTTTTTTCTTGTTTTTGTTTGGTTTTGGTTTTTCCAAGACAGGGTTTCTCTGTCTGCTCTGTCTGTCCTAGAACTTTCTTTGTCGATCAGGCTGGCCTTGAACTCACAGAAATACACCTGCCTCTGCCTCCCAAGTGCTGAGATTAAAAGTGTGTACTACCACCACCCCATTCCTCTGGTGGAATTTTACCCAATTACGTTGCAAAGCCTGGCTTAACCAAGTACAGTGTCTTAAGTCTAAACTGAAACTAAATACCCTAACTGTGCACACATCACTCATACAAGGACTTTGAGACATTCTGTCCCTAGGTCAACTGTAAAAGCCACCATTACTAGGATTTCACAGGACGTCCATGTATATGACAGGACTCACCTGTAGTACCCAATTCCCATCAAAGGTACTTGGTGGTCAAGGGAGATAGTTTCAACATATCACGAAATGTGCTATTAATATAAGCATTTCCTATGACAAATGCTCTTGTTTCCCCCCCCCCCCCGAGAGTGTTTTAAACCTGAGTGTTAATGTTTTACAAGATTTTTTTTTCAGTGGTTGGTTTCCAGGAAAGTGGATCTTCAGACTTCTTCCCTTGTGGCTGTAATTGTTCCTAACACCAACAGTGCTGCCTAAGAACAGCCAGAGCTCATTAAACAGAACCCTGAGCATAATTATAATGAAGAATTAGCTGGAAATTAGTCTTAATGATTTGTTTTAGATGACAGACTAGAGGCATAATATAATTATTTTTAAACTTTCTACATCGTTAAGAATGCAACAGCACCACCTTTCAATTACGGTGAATCAGACCGCACGGAGGCTGCAGCCCACTCGTGGATCCGAGCTAAGGCAACCGGAAGGCTGAACCCCAGTCCAGGTGTTCAGAATCACTCAGCCTTCCTGTTCTACTAGGTTTTTGTTTTGTTTTGTTTTGTTTTAAAGCCATTTCATACCTTGAAGACATCTCCACTGTGAAAAATAAAAGCACTCAACTGAGATCCGGCTTTCCTTAGACCTTTTTAAAGACACGACGTGGATAATGGCAGGTGGTAGAGAGAGCTAGAAAAATCTAGAGTCTAGGGAGTGGCCTGCGATGCCACTTCACACATCACGCTGGACTAACCGGAAGTCAGAGGAGGTCGAGGATGTCAGAGCGGTAGGGATAAGCACCAGAGCGTAGCACCGGCTCTAGGTCATCCGTTCCTAGTCTGTTTTTCTTTTCCTTTCGGTGTTCACCAAGTCAATTTGAATCTTGTTTCTCATTAGAACTTTAAAAATAAGTTGGTTTTTCTTAGTTACGCGTGTGCACTTGTATGCGTGCGTGTGTTTAGCACCCAATGTCCCTTGACCTGGAGATACAGGGAATTGTGAGCCATCCAACATGGGCTCGGAACCGAATTTGAACTTGAGTTCTCTGCAAGCGCACTTGTGAGCAGTCTCTCCACTCCTGTCCTCAAAAGAAGTTTTTTAAAGAGTACAATAGAGATCCAAAAAAAGTTGTTTTGTTTTCTGAAGAAAAAAATCTAAAAATACACATTTAGAGAATGAAAAAGTATTTGTTGTCAAAAGTTTGCCTTTAAAAAATTGTGGTTTTCATCTTGGCTTGTCGGTGGGTGTGCTGTTTCTGAGCTTGTCTCCCTCTGAGCTAACCTGTTAGGCCTTTTGTTGCTGGCCATCAGAAGCCATCAGAGAGCGCAGCCCAACACCTACATAAAAGACCTGGTACCTGTGTTTCCACATCACAAAGCAAGCCAGCAAGCACACGAGGCCACAGACCAGGTTTAGAACCATCTGGATGATTAAGAACAATTTGAAAGTGCCGGTGACACTGGTACAGTCAGTCACATCTCTGTAAACAAAGGCCCTGCTGAGCGGTTCCGAGGAAGGCAGCTTGCACTGGCAAGAATCAAGGGAGGTCTCACAGGTAAACTGGGCAATCAGGGAATAGTGGTGGCTGGCAAACGCCACAGCCAGCATGCAGACCATCAGGCCCAGGGCGCTTAGCAGGAAGTAGAACATCTGCAAGAGAGAAGAAACGCTTCCTGTTACTAGAGGACTGGCCAACTGCAAAGCAAACTAGTGAACACTGTTTGACTGAGTTCTCCCACTCAAAGGCCGTTCTCTCCTCAAAACATAACACCCGAGGCATGGATATTCACACTGATTAGTTAAATCACTGACTTTTGCAACAGGGTCTCATGTACCCCAGGCTGACCCCAAACTATATAACTGAGGATGGGTTGGAATTCCCAATCCTCCTGCCTCCAGTGCTCAAGTGCCGGGATCATAGGTGTGTGCTGACATGACAGCTTGAGTTATTTATTGGGAAACAGTCCTTAACCATTTTGTCATGCAGACCTGGCCTTCCCTATGGATTGCAATGACCTGTCAGCTTGTCTGTGGGCTATTTATGTCTAGATTTAGCAAGTAGCATAAACAAATTCTAAACAAGCCCTCTCTCCCAGGGGGCACCCCACACTTATCTTTAAAATTGAGAAATGCCAGTCACGGGATGAAAATGAGATATGAAAGCAAAAACCAGGATTTTATAATGAAAATACCATGTTGGTCAAAATTATTACAAATCGATCAACTAACAATAAGGGTTAATAAAAAAACAGAACGTGCTTGATTTGGCAGCTACGGCACTACAACCATGACAGTCAAGACCACGGAGCAAGAGGCCTCTGGGAGGAAAACAAAATATGGCTGAAAAGGTAGACAATTCGGCCTGCATGTTAGCTCTGGGACTGGTCATGCCTGGTTAAAGTCCTAACTGCTGGCAAGGGATTGCAGACTCGACATAAACGTATCTGTTTTAGTTTACTTATGTCTGAAACACTGTGAGCAAAAAAAAAAAAGTTGTAGGTTCTCACTGACACAGCCACAATAAGATCCACTGTATAGCGCGAGAGCCGCTCTTGTGACTGGGCTCACAGACCTCTTACTGGTCCACCTGCATGAGGTCCAGGTAAAGGCCAGTTCTACAGGCTTTGGAACTATTGTCTACAGTCTGTAGGGCAAGATTTATGCTGCCACTAAGACAAAAGCTACCCCTTACCAGCAGTAGTTCTACCATGTGGCCGAGGCCAGTCTTGAACTCATGATCCTCCTGCCTTCTCCCCTCAAGTTCTGGGATTTCAGGCAGGTACTGCCATTCCTAGCTGAAACGTCTTGTGTCTTAGCAACGTAACAGGAATAATTTGTATTTGACATGTTTAGTGTTCCTTGGAGGGAAAGGATCAAACAAATGCAAAATGGCAGCATTATTAAGACAGGATTTATGTAATTTGTGATATTATAAAGGACTGCTCTGCTCCTGTCCCCTGAGCATTTAGTGACAATATTTTTATGTAGAGGTGAGGTGTTTAGACTTTAAAATATGGACATATTGTGTAAGGCAAATGGCTAGAATATTGAGAGTATTATGGACTATTCTGAAATCATTTGAGATTGGTGATTAAATTTAAATTCCTGGTATGAAAAGCCGGTTTGTGCTGGCCACAGACAACTACTAGCAGGAGAGACCCAGTTAAAGTGGCCGTTACCCTCTGGGTAGTTATCCTCTTAGTAGAAGAGCCCCCACGTTGAACTTCTGCCACACCATTTTTAGCTTTGGGTTTTGGCGAGCAGCAGATAGACCATGTGACTGTTCTCCTATCTACTGATACCCTGCCTAGTGCACATAAGCACAGTCACGCCCAGATGCACACGCGTGTCCTTAAACTGTAGCTATTCATAATACTTACCACTGGGAACGTCCATTTACTGACAATAAGAAGTTTGTCTATTTTAAAGAAAATAGTGTTGGCAAGATGTCTCAGTGGGTAAAGGCTCCTGCCACCAAGTCTAATGACCCAGGACCCACATGGAGGAAGGAAAGAACCAACTCTCTGCAGGATGACCCCTGACCTCTACACACACATAGCACACAGACACACACAAAAAAATGGATAACAAATTATAATTTTAAAAAAATTAAATGACACATTTTGACTCAAATATTTATTTCCCAAAGACCATTTAACATGTACACGACCATGAGAACACGAGCCAGCAAACCAGGCCACCTAAATTAAGGCTTGACTCCCTAGTGCTCCCTGTGGGGAGGGGGAGCACATCCATTGTACATACTAAGCAGTATTTCTTTACTTGTAAATTTGGGATGATACCCGTAACTCTGACTTTACATTGTCATTACAGGGACTGAGTCTTGCCACCGCCGAAGGGCGCAGGAGCCCTACTGGCTATTTGTGAATTAAACCATCAAGGGAGGAACACTGCCACTTCCAGGAATCTTCCAGCAGGGATCTGCTGCCTGTTTGTTCTGTCATGTGGGAGGAACAACACAGACTTGGTTTGCAGAAGGATGTAAACATGAACACAGATACAGAGGTTGCTTAATTGTGATCTAGCTCCTTAACTATACAGAACCTAGCAGCTCAAGGACAAAAGAAAAGAACCCTCATCCCTTAGCAAAGTGACATCTCACACTTACTGACTCTCAGTCAGGCAAGCTGCCTGTCTCTCAGGTCACAATCAGACCTGCTGGTGGCACCTGGTGGCACCTTCCTCTCTGGATCTTGAGTCTGACAGCAACAGGCTCCTGCAGTAAAAACCCATACTTTAAAACCAAGCGCCTTGTTTTGCCCACATGACAAGAATAAACAATCAATGAAGGCAGGTGTGTGGGGTCACCTTGGGACCTTGACAGCAGCCTGTGTGGGTGTCCCTGCAGAACATCCCTGGAGGCCAGCTCTGAGTTTATGTAACCCCCAGGCTTGCTCCTGCCCTGCTGTAATTGGAACCTGCGGTGGCTTTCCCAGTTGGTGGCTCTGGGAGGAGGGGGTTTCTGTTTGGATTTAATGATCTCCCCCTTGGCCAGAATGGTAAGGCCTGGCTACTGCTTGGGAAGTGGCTGTCTCAGAGCAGCCCAAGGAAATGCCAGTAAGGCGTATGCAGCAGGCACATGACCTTCAAGGGCTCAATAAATGCATAAGAGCCCACAGTAAAGGGGGACACCCAGAAGGGCAGGTAGGAGGGTCCACACCCAGTGACCTGTCAGGCCCAGAGGCAGAGTCTAGGGAGAAAGCAGGAAATTGCTGGTGGTCTCTGGAGTCTAAGAGCAATGTGTGTGTGTGTGTGTGTGTGTGAGAGAGAGAGAGAGAGAGAGAGGGGGGGGGGTGGAGAGGGGAGAGAGAGGGGGTGAGAAAGAGAGAGAGAGAGAGAACACAGAAGAGTCCATCACCATAGCGCACTGGCTTGCCCTGTCTATCTAGGTACCCAATAAATTCTCATAAAGAGCTTAGGCCAGGGTGCCCAGGGGTAGGGGGCTAGAATACAGCCATGCAGTAATGAGTCCCGCCTAAAGGTCCCCTTCATTCCCCCTAAAACGCAGTGGGAAGCTCAGGGGACATCCACATCCGATATGCCCTGTTGGAGCCCAGATGAAGCTCCTTTTGGACTGAAGATGTCATGGAGAATGTCTGGGATTGCTAGCAGCAGCCTGGCTGAAGGTCACCTTCAGGAGCAGATAAAGAGTTTCCTATCTGTCAGTGTCTGTCATGGGTGAAGAAAGGATGGAGCTAATGAGGTCTTCCCAGTGGGGATCTGCAGCCTGGCTGGCACTGACGGCTGCTTCACGTCTTTCTTTTCTTCCCCATCTCCTTTTTATATATTTTTTTATTTTTTTTATTGAAGGTACAGTTGTTGAGAGGCCTGCTGGGGCTCTCACTGAATGTGAGGCAAAGGAGGAGGACTAGGTGTTTTCCATGACTGGAGAAAAATCCAGGTTAGGGTGGTTTTACTTTCTGGGTCAATCTCCTAAGACTTGGCACGTTATTTCTTGTGAGGTTTTTGGCTTTCTTTTTCTTTTTTTCTTTCTCTTTCTCATCACCGTGCCTGGTTATCTGGTCAACCTCACCGAAAAGGAGTCTGAACTAGTGCCTTCTCACTTCTTGCTTCTAAAAAAAAAAAAAAAAAAAAAAAAAAAAAATAAAAAAAAAAAAAAAACCCAAAGACCTCCTATCAAAAAGGTGAATTTCAGGGCTGGAGAGGTGGTTCCGGGGTCAAGAGCACTTGCTGTTCTTTCAGAAGACCCAGGTTCAGTTCCCAGCATCTGCATGGTGGCTCACAATTACCCGTTAAAAAATGTGAGCACGTTGCTTTTTATACCATTATCTGTGAGTATACAACCTTAACCTTCTCCTTCTCCTCCTCCTCTTCCTCCTCTTCCTCCTCCTCCTCCCCTCTCCTCCTCCTCCTCCTTCTCCAGACAAGATCCCATGATGTAATTTTGCTGGCCTCCAACTCAGTATGCAGCTGAGTCTGGTCTTGAAGTTTTGAATTCCTGATCTCCCTGCTTTCTACTCCCTGAGTGGTGAGATTACAGTCATGTGCTACCATGCCCTGTTTATTTGGTGCTGGGGTCAAATCTAGGGTTTTATCCATGCTAGGCAATCACTCAACCAAGTGAGCTACATCTCCATACTCTAAGCACATCCTATTTTTTAATCTGTGTGATTTTCAAATGACACTATCGACTTATTCTTGGGCTTTATATCTCCTGGTTTTAGAAGGCAAAGATATGCTAAGAAGAAAGTCAACTACAGATGGACAAGAGAAACATACAGAACATTCTCATTCTGGTGAGAAGTTCATTATGGTGCCAAGTGAACCCATCAGCCAGGACTGCTCAGTTGATCTTATGCTTCCCAGCTCTGAGGAGTATCTAAGTCTCTCCCTACCCTTGAATGGCTGTATAAGTGTCTCCCTACCTCTGAGGGAGTGGTTAAATCTCTCTCCATCTCTGATGGGGTGGCTAAGCCTCTCCCCACCTCTGAGGGAGACACTCCAAGCCTCTCCTTGGAGATGATATTTTGTACAGTGTGATGCTGTGCTCCTGAAAGGATTACAAACAAATGCACTGCCCCTGACAGACGAAGTTCATAGCAATGGATGGCATACAACAGGCACGCCATGCACAGCCTGGCCATTCCCCATTGACTATAAGCAGGGCCTGCGGGACACACCCAGTGAACCTTTTGTGTCTCAGCTCTCCCACCTACAAGGAGACATACAGGAGACTGTTTCATTGTTGTGATATTCCAAATACCCCAAGATATGGAAATGGGCACCCAGAGAGACACCGTTCCCTGGCCAAGTGTTTTGTTGGACTGCTCAATATATGTTTGAAGGGCCGTTAAAGGTCCCACTTCATGTGTTGTAGGCCAACCCAACTCATGGAGATTAATTAAAAGGCCTAGCGTTACCTCTATGTCTGGACCTACACCCTCCTAGAACATGCTCTGTCCAACTGAAAATGGAGTTTGTGGTGTCACCAGATATGTAGCACCTTAAGCACTCTCTTGCTTGCAGTCACATTCCTCTCTTCGCAGTGATTCTGAAAACAGGAAAAACAACTTACCTTCATAGAAAACTGGACACACGTCCTCTCGTCAACTTGGTATGAGACGCAAAGCATGAACAGTCCAAGGTAGGCCACCATGCAGACCTGCAGCAGGGAACACAGGACACAAACATGACTGGGCACCAGGAGGCCAGCAATACGCAGCTCAGTGTCCCTCACAGTTGCGGGCTCTGCTGACAAGCCCTTCATCTTCTTCGTGATTTGTGTTTCTCTCAACTGGTGAGACACAACTCTAAAGATGCGTTCTTACTATTTTTAATTGAGGATGTGTTTGTGTGCCCATGTGTGGGTATGTGTCCATGAATGTAGTGTCCTCAGAGGCCTGGAAATGGTGTCAGATCCCCCAGAACTGGAATTGTAGGCAGTTGTAAACCGTCCAACATGGGCTGGATGCTGGGGATTGCACTCAGGTAGGTCCTGTGCGTGAGCAGGAGGCACTTGAACCATGGAGCTGTCTCTCTAGCACAATGGGACATGGCTTTAAAATAGTAAAGCCATTGCTTTTGCCAGTATTTATTAAGTTCCTCTGTACTCCAGGGAGTATAAAAGATAGTTCAGAGCATATACAATGATACATAAAATTTAATCTATTTGATTAGTGTATGTCCAATAGAGGCCAGAATAAATTCACACACTACTCTAAGGCAGGGCATTATTGGCTACTTGCCATTCAGAGAATTCTAAAAGAAATTAAGTCTGATAGGAAAATATAGAGGGTTTGCTTTAAAAAGAAGGCTTGAAACAGCCTGCTAACAACAAGAGGCACCAGCAGCAGCCGGAGCTCCTCCGAGGGCTGTGTCTTTCTTCATGCTGTTGTCACAGAGCCCTATAAGGTAGGTGTTTTATGATCTCATATTATTAGAGATGGAAGGGAAGCCAGGGAACCATACTGTAGGCCCAGGGCACACTGCAGGTAGCCTGCTGAAGGCAGATGCAGCAGCCATGGCCCAGCGATGAAGCAGTGCAGAGCAGGCTAGTGGAACAGATAGACCCACAGTAGAACTGTAACCAGGCATTGAGCAGAAAAGGCAGGGTGGAGATACAGCACAGAGCTGTGACAAAGAGGTGGCTTGGCTCTCCAGCAGGGAGTGAGATAGCCTCAGACACAGGGTCTCCAACAGAGAGTGGGATGGCCTCAGATACATTTCAGGAAAGTAATCAGAGATGTCTGGTGACGTCATAGGGATACTGAGATACTATTTCACCAATCTGGACAAGATTAATATATTAGGAGGCTGGGTGTGCTGGTCCGTGCCTGTAATTTTAGCACTCTGGAGGCTGAGGCAGGAGGATCATTGTAAGTTCCAGATGACATTTTATTTGTTTGTTTGAGATAGAGTTTCTCTGTGTAGCCCTGGCTGTCCTAGAGCTAGCTCTGTAGACCAGGCTGGCCTCGAACTCACAGAGATCTGCCTGCCTTTTCCTCTCAGGTGCTAGGATTAAAGGCATGGGCCACCACACACAGCTCAGATGAAATCTCTAAAGAGACACATCACTGGGATCATGAACACACTGGTCTGAAGAGATGTGAATGGGAAATGTAGCAGGGCTGAGGCAGGTAATGCTGTACCACAGAACACAAGTCCTGGTGTCCAGTACCCACCACCTGGTGATTGTGGATGAGAAGGACACTGTGCATCTCATGTTTCTAAGTCAGGGAGCAGGATCTTTCTGAAAGAGCTTTCTAAATTATTACTTTATCAGTATGTAATACTAACATTCCACAGCAGGTATCATCGTGACGTTTTTACACACATACATGGTACTTCTTAATCACCCTCTACTCCCACTGCCCCTCCCACTCCAGTGATACCCCCTTTCTCTTCCCAACCAACCCTGTTTCCATTTTCAAGTCTTTGAATGCATTTTTAAACAAGCCAGCGGAGCACCTGTTTGACAAGGCTTCAGGACTTCACTCCGTATCCCCACTCAGAGGGCCTGTGGAATCGAAGCAAAGGAACAAAGACCTTGTTTTGTTCAGCAGCAGCAAGCCAGACAGAATGTTCTAAACTTACTTCTGTCATATCCTGAAGCACGTGCCTGGGCTCTCTCCTCAGCTCCTGTCAGCAGGATCAGGAGTTGCCCCCACATGGTTGTCTTTGTCCCTAAGCTGGGCTGAGATCTCAATTGCCAAGAATTCTCTCCTTGTTATGAGACATGAACATTCAAAAGTTCGAGACTGACTGACCAGCGTCTTAAAAATAATCACAGTTCCTTCACCCCAGCAGGAAGCCCCTTTTCATTAGCTGCTACTCTGTGTCCACTTCACTAGGCCTGACCTCCAGCGAGACACAGTGTAGCATAGCAATGCCCCGCCCACATTCAACAGCTCTGCCTCGCTGCTTGTCCATCCACTGAACTTACACAGGCTGTGCTGTACTGTTCTGTGTCTCTGGGAACTGAGAGATGAAAACCACAGACTGACCTGAAAACCACTCCAAGACTGACCCAGCCTTCCAGAGAGAGGCTGCAGTACAGCCGAGGTGTCATCAGCGTGTCCGCTATGGGGTGCACAGCTGGTGGAACTGACCTGACAGGCTGAGAGAAGCCCCCACAGAGGAAGATGGTTGAGGATAAGTTTGTCATGCACCTATATGAAGCAGTTAAGATTGTAGGAAATACTGGCCTGACTACAGAACCTTGTGAAAATAGAAAAAAAAGCCCAAGTTACCCAATTTGGACAAAAAGTATCTGGTACATCATGTCACATCATTACAAGGCTTGAGCTAGCTCAGCACACGTTAATAAGTTAGCCTGAGTAGGCTGAGGGTTCTTACCCACAGCCTTCCATAACTAACAGTTTTTTTCTCTTTATCGGTAGTGTGTACAAGGATGTTCTAGAACAATCATATTTATTGAATTCCTCAAGCTGAAAGCTTTACGGCCATCGGGAAAGAAAAAAGAGTTCCCGTGCCAGACTGAAGGAAGGGCCTGCTTCCTGAGCTGACAGGATGTGGGCATGCCCAGAAGACAGGGTGATCTGGCTTCCAGGCAAGGAAGAGAAGGGCATGCTGATGCACGAATCTCCTGGAATAGGGCCAGATCTCACATCACATCTGTGAAAGGAAGCCCACAGAACATGGTGGACATTAGTAGGAGGTGTTTAAGAAGTTACCTGATGGACCAGTCAAAGGTCCAGGTGGGCCTGGTGGTATCACACTGCACAAAGCCCACAAAGACACAGGGCCTGAACATCAGTGCCAAGAAGCAACAGGGCCTATGTCACTGAATGCTTGGGAAAGATCAGATCACAAACTGTATTGATAAGAAAATCTTGAAGTGTTCTTTTGAATGGAAAGGAACAAGGGGAATCATTTAACCTATTTTTAGACATATGCATCTATAGACAGACTGTTTTGTCTGTGCAGGGTTGGGTCTGCGCTGCCTCTTGTGAGCTGTAGAGCTGAGTAGGGTTGGAACGGTCTCGGAATGAATGTCAAGTCTGTTTCCAGAAGGAGGGGTCCTGGGTCTTGCTACACAGTGGCTTTGCTTATTTGACCTGATGGACTTCAGAGGTGCCTGGTAAGGAATTCTGAGCAGGAGGGAGGACCAACTCCGTGAGATGTTTATATAAATTTTTTTTTCATTTTTCCACGATAAGGAGGTGCTACCCAAAACAGTCTGCAAAAATGGGAATTATTATCATTTCTTTCTCTCGATGTGTATTTATAGTCTGGTTTTGTGACATTCTCACTACCTCCACTCATTTGTTTCTTTCTTCCCGCTGTTGACAGAGTTGCTACACAGGGTTATTGGGGGATACAATCTACTCCTGCCAAATGCTGGTCATTATTCCTCTTCCCTCCTCAGCCCCATTGATTACTTGTAAACTGGAAACGTGACTCTATTTCTGTAAGTATTGGATGCAAAGTGCTTTCATCTGATCAATATTGTAACAAGAGAAAATTAACCTCTGTCTACGGTCATGAAGTCAATGGACCACCCACAAAAGCAGAGGCACCGCTATTCGCTGCATTTTCTTGATGAAAATCTCTACAGACGGTCGCCCGCATCCGATGATTTAAGGTAAACCATTCGGAGTCACTTTCGACAACTGATAAATGCACTGTAGTCCATCAGTGTGATGTGGTCTTACTCGAGAGAGCTGTTAGCACATACTGTGCCAGAAGAATAAATAATAAGAAACAGCCAAAGAGCTATTAACATTGCTTACTGGATCAAGGTTTCAGGATCACAGGGGACATGTCAACATGGCTGAGGGGTCTTTTCTACTCCATTCTCCTTGCCCCTTCCTCATGAGACAAGACTGAGAACGTTCAGAATCACCTTACAGGTTGGTCCCATCTTCACAATTTAAGATTTGATAGGTCCAGGGTTGAGACCCAGAATCTTTATCCCTAACAAATCCCAAGGCTGCTGCTGTTAGTCCTGGGCCCACATCCTGAGAAGTACAAGTCTAAGCATAAACACAGTCCCCTGAGTGTCTCTGTGGAATCTATCAGGATGGTGGGACATGGTATAGAGCCATTTCTTATGAGGAGTGAAAACAGATGTGTTATCAATGGCCACTTACAGTGTGTTCAGGTCTGCGTGAAAATCTTTACATATATTTCTTCCTCTTGTCCCCAGAGACTTCGGAATGCAAAAGGTTAGGCGTACATTTATTGCAGGATGAATTTTTAATATTCCTAATGTATACATAATAAAAGTGTTGGCGCCACGAGACAAGTTAGTGCTTCATACCATAAGAATCCTTAAAAATTGGAGGCAAAGCCCCTCTATCTTCATCACTACTTAAGCACAACCTCAGGCCAGAGCTTTCGGCCTCCACATTCTGGAAGGCTCTGGGAGTATCTCTGAATTATTAGCGTGTGTGCTATGTCATCCTGATACATGAGACGGTTATCACCCACACAGGCAAAGCCAAAAATTCCTTTCCAAAACTGGACCATGTCTCCAGGGGTTATGGCAGCAAAGTCCATCAATGGCTCAGGGCTGTTAGCCACATTCAGTCATTCCCAGGCAGTAAATTCCACCATGGCAGATTCCCGAGTACTGAACTGAGGCTGCTGAGCGAGAGGTGCACGCCCGCCCGCGGCCTTCGTGAGACAGCCAGATTTAGC